GTCAATTTTCAGTAAACACAGGCAAGTTCAATTCCATCTTTGCATACATTGAGTATGAGTAACAGAAATGCCAGCATTTGTTTGACTCCTAAAGCTAAAGTTACTCAACATGTTGATCTTGCCCTAACATAGGAGCAACAATCTGTCAGCTAAGTAGACACTACAAGAATCTATTTAATCTGTGACGAAATTTGACGAAATTTTTCGTGATGTTTTTAGAGATCATCACGGATATGCAACTATGGATATAAGGCCCATAATACCATGACAGTTTATTGATTTCATCATAAACCGGCCCAAAACCTATGATGTTATAGCAATTTCGTCACGATTTAAATACTTCAAAACCATATAAGAGATATGTAATTTTTGTGAACAATGTTACTATCACTTTATCGGATGAAGAAATGACCAAAATAAACGTTATAGATATTGATGAGTTATACAACTTTGATGTTGAAGACTTTTTCAGTTGAAATAATTTATATTTGAAAATGTTGTTTGAACTTGTCATAATTTGAAATTCAAATTCAAATTATTGAAACAGAGTCATATACCAAAATGACCAAAACAAAAGTTGTAGATATTGATGATTTATACAACTTTGTTGTTGATGACTTTTTTAGCTGAAATCATTTAGTATTTGAAAATGTTGTTTGAAGTTGTCATAATTTGAAATTCAAATTCAAATTCAAATTATTGAAACAGAGTCATATAGCAAAATGACCAAAACAAAAGTTGTAGATATTGATGATTTATATAACTTTGTTGTTGATGACTTTTTCAGTTGAAATCATTTAGTATTTGAAAATATTGTTTGAAGTTGTTATAATTTAAAATTCAAATTCAAATTATTGAAACAGAGTCATATAGCAAAATGACCAAAACAAATGTTGTAGATATTGATGAATTATATAACTTTGTTGTTGATGACTTTTTCAGTTGAAATCATTTAGTATTTGAAAATATCGTTTAAAGTTGTCATAATTTGAAATTCAAATTCAAATTATTGAAACAGAGTCATATAAAAAAATGACCAAAACAAAAGTTGTAGATCTTGATGAGTTATACCACTTTGTTATTGATGACCTTTTCAGTTCAAATCATCTAGTACTTGTAAATGCTGTTTGAATTTGTCATAATTTGAAATTCAAATTCATACTGTTCAAACAAAGTCATATAAAAAAATGACCAATACTAAAGTTGTAGACCTTGATAAGTTATACAACTTTGTTGCTGATGACTTTCCCATTTGAAGTCATTTACTACCCAAAAAATTATTTGAATTGCTTATATTTTTAAATTTCAAATTTTATATAGTACAATCAAACTCAGATGGAAAAATAACCAAAAGAAAATTGGTAGATCTCAATGAGTTCTACAACTTTATTTTTGATAGTTTTTTGATATGAGTTCATTTAATATGATAAAATTTGATTCGAAGTTTTAATATTTTGAAATTAATATTTTTCCCTCCTCCTCCCTTCAATTTTTTTTCATCTCCTCTTCTCTCTCCCATTCTCTCCTGGGAACCGGCTCATCTGACGTTGTGGAGGAATGTCACAGCGTAACGTAGCCGAGGCAATCCACCGTCCAATCTAATCCAACGCCTCTCTGCCCACTGCTCTGTTTGTTAAGTGCAAGTTGGTAGTTGTCAGAGACACTCTGTTATAATTAACTGCTGATGATCATGCTAATTAACTGATTAACAGCAAAGCTAGCGGCTTCATTCATCTACTAGGCATCTAGGACACTGAAACCTCTCCTCAAATAATTTAGCTCAAAAAATTTAGATTGATCGTATCCATTTTGTAACACAACTGAGTCTGCAAATATGTGATAGAACTGAATAAATGAAATTCTAATAATAGCTTGGATCTTTAAGCAGCAAGTCTTACAAAGTCGTGTAATGATAAAAAATCTCACACTGGAACCCTGCATTGTTAAGAGAATAAGTTAGCATAGGACAACAAATTGTTTCTAAAATTTCTTAAAATACAAGATAATTGGAATTGTACAAAGAAGTCTACCGTCAGTAGTTCAGTGTAGCTACTGATGAACTCATATCCCTGAAAATCGTTCTCATTTCTTCTACAACAATTCTCTGCAGCTAATTGAGTTTGTGCTTCTTGTTCCTGGGTAACATAATAGTGTGAAGGTCTACAAGAAATATGATATATTTTCACAATAAGAAAAAACTAAGGCAAGAAAATCAATCTATATGATAAAGAAACATACGGTAGGAGATTGATGTGCATCAGTAACTTTAGCCGGTGCTTTTTTGTTTTTCTTGTGCTGTTTATCGGTCCAATTTCGTTGTCTCTTTGAGCTTTTATTCTGAACAGGTTTCTTCTTCAGCCGTGCAGCTCTTAGATGTTCTTTTGGTGCTTCTGGGATCATTTGCTCATCACATTCAGCATCATGATTACTTTGGCATGCATTCATTCGGCCTTTAACTTGCTTGCTAAAGCTATCGAGTGTATTCTCAATAAGAATACAACATTCTTCAGAGTTGGCTGCTTCAGTAGCCAAATTGACAAATTTATGAGAAAGAACTTTGTAACTAAGTATTGCAGCCAACTTTGGATTTTCAATAATATTCCTTCCTCTACAATCCTGAATAGTTCCATACCGTGCTTCTTGAGTCCATCGTTTCAAAATGTAATGAGGTGGTAGTAACTTAATATTCATCAAATCAAGGACCTTCAAAGCATGGGCACATAATATCCCTATTCTCTCAAACTGACCACAGCTGCATGAAGCTGTCTCTGTAGAAATATTGCCAATAACATTGTATTCCTCTTCAAATATTGGATCATAAGAAAGAGTACCAATTGCTACTGCGAACTGGTAGTTCTCATCTAATACTTTAGTGCATGCCGCGGTAGATCTCTCATATTCTGTTTGGAAACATTCAAATATCACAGGAGTATAAATCTTATTTGCTTGGAGCAACATGGGTGACCTCATCTTGATTCTAGATAGTTTTTCCCTGGATTCATATTCTGATTTCAGTTTATTGTCCCTCTTGCCTTTCACAACCCTTTCAAAATGATTGAAAAATCGAATAATATCAAGACTCGATTTCAAGTGAATTTTCAGGTCATTGTTCAGGCTCTCACTTAATTGTGTGCTTCGCATGCCCAATGTAAAAACATTTCTCATGTAGCATTCTGCCCACTTCTCCCTTACTTTATATATGCTATCAAGCCATGTTTGTTTTTGTACTTTCTTTCTCATAGCATCAAAAGCTTCTTCAAACTTCACTTTATCACCATGGTCATACATGCAAGAACTGAATTCTGTAAGCAGATTTGTTTCACTGTTCCTATTACTAGGTAAATGCTTGGTGGCATTTTGCATTATATGAAAAGTGCATATTCCATGCCATGCTTCTGTAAATACATGCTCAATTGCCTTTCCCATTGCAATATCTTGGTCTGTGTATATAGTTCTAGGTTGCTTCTGATTATGTGTTGCCAGAAAAGTATCAAAAAGTTATTTGAATGACTCAAATGTCTCATCATATAAGAGGGCAGCACCAAAAATAACAGTTTCTCTAAAATTATTGAATCCAGTGAATACACCAAATGGCCTATACTCCTTGTTTGTTCCAAAAGTAGTGTCAAAAGTTATAACATCATCAAAATGAGCATAGTCGATAATCATTTTAGCATCAGCCCAAAATATATTTATGATTTGCTCTTCACAATCCAATTGTACGGCATAATGGAAAGATGGATTTTCAGTGACTTTGTCCTAAAAGTATTTTAACATATTACCTGCTTCACCGTACATTAGCTCTCTTTGGCGCTTAGTGCGCAAATAATTTTTGTGATCCTAACGAGTATAACTGAGATTGCAAGATCCACCAACATGTCTACTAGCTAATTCATGAGCAGCTTTGGGTCCAATACCTGAATCATCGGCCATTTCAATTTCGAAAGCCTGGACTTCAGAAATCTTTCGTTGTGATGGCATAAGGTGGCATGTTTCCTTCAAGTGGAGCATGTGATTGTGCTCAAGAACAAGATCAAATATATCATAGTTTCCTGTTTCTCAATCTATTGTAAGGCCTATTCGGACTTGGTAATCAGTCCTAGTTTCAGCTCGCGATTGCTTAGTACTGTGATCTCTTTTATCAGCTACCCGGTGACCCTCCTTGCTACAAACATATCTGCAGGAAGTAATTTTCCCATCAAATTTACTTGGGTTTGAGTACCTCTTTCTGACACTAAACCCAATCTGACCTCCATAGTACTCCCAGAATTTTCAAGCCTCATCTAAGGTGCTGAACTTCATGCCTATTTGAGGTATCCAACTAGGTATGGGATTTGCTCTGCGAAAACACACAGAAAAAAAAACTATTGATGCATAATAATTTTCAATGATACGTTTATTGTATGACTATTGACTAGTATATATGTTGCACTTCACTGCTGGTTCATGCTCTCTGAACCCATGCTCCAAATAATATGTTGTTCAGAGTATATACCATTATGATTTTATCTACCGGATCATTTTGATCTTTATTATACGAGTAAACAGGTGATGAAATCAATATTATTGTGAAGCATAATCGAACTAGTCACTTACTCATTTGATTCTCTGTTAGTCTGATTTCCCTCCTGGTTTGAATCAGCATTGATCTGGTTTTCCATCGGAATTTGCAGCTTGTCTCCACCAATCAGGATTGCAGGATATGAATGAGGCGAGATGTTATGGGCTTGTGGCAGAGATGCAGAGTAATGATTAGAACCAAACCTCGTCAATTCAAGGTTCTGTTAGGAGGAGCACATAAGAGAAGAGAAAGCGATATGTGATTTTGGCGGCAAACATAGTTATCATGTTTATTTTTCCTCCAAAACACTAATTAAGTTAACAAATAGAGCAACGAGCGGAGAGGCGTTGGATTAGATTGGACGGTGGATTGCCTCGACTACGTTACACTGTCACGTTCCTCCACAACGTCTGATGAGCCGGTTCCTCCCTCCTGATATTTTCACTTCCCCCGTCCTTATCCTCTCCTCTCCTCTCTCTCTCTCTCTCACCGACGGCAGCGGCGGGCTCGGCACCGGCGGCGGCGGCCTCGACCGCCGATCGCCGACGCCCCGCGCCGCCTCCTCGCTCATCAGGATGGGCTCGGCGGTGTGTGCCGGTGCCGGCGTGCTCGGTGCGCCAGACCCGCGACGTCGCCTTCGAGGCCGAGGACGCGCTCGACGACTTCCTCCGGCGGCAGTCCACTTTGGTCGCGGTCGCGGCGACGTCCCCAACCTCCATGACGTCGTCGCCTCGGCTACTCCGGAGCCCACTGCCCCTGGCCGGATTTGGAAGCCAGCTACACAACGACGGGCGCCGGCCTGCCGTTCTTCGCCCTCGGCCTCCACCGGCTTCCCTTCCGACGTCGCCGCCTTGAGCTCCTCCTCACGCCCTCCCCGCCGGCCCTTCCCGATCTGCTCCACCCAAGCCACCACGACGACCAGATCCAGGAAGTCTCTCCATCGCTCTAGTCCTGACAGTGGCTGGAGGACCCCGGCCGGTTGCAGCAATTCATCCCCGCAAAAATATCAAAGTTGACATCGTCAGCCTCCTCATTTGGATAAGTAAGCCCCTTCTTCACCCTGATTTGTGCGCTAATGCTGATCTTAATCGGTGAATGGTTGTGTTGCCAGGAATTTGTGAATCAGGATGTTCCATCTAATTTGGTTTTGCTCGGGTTGTCAAATGCTCAATGGATATGTACCTGCGCATGTGCATCAGGTTGGTGTGCTTCGGCATGTGGTGGGTTGATTTACTTCAGCCAAGGTTGTGCTCATCTCTTGTATCCTCAAACACTAAGATACTGATGTTCTTTTCCTCTTCTCGCCATTCCCTTGCATGCCATTTTTTTCAGGTAACCAGGTTCAATGAAGAATGGGAGAATTATGTTTACTGATAATGTGCATTTTTATTTACTGTGCCTTATTAGTTCATTTGGCATGGACGCCCTTACTTTTGCATCAGCTCAGGCTTAGCAAGAAAGATTCTCATCCTGTTTTAATTGCTGACCCATGAATGATTAATCTTGATCCCCCACCCTCAAGCAACTCTGTTGCTTTTCGCTTGCGAGAACGCAGTTCTGTAATCTAGCTTAACTCAGACCGATTCCTTATTTTATTGATAATCTCATCTATTTGTCATGTGAGTAATTTAAGTGGCGCTTAAACAACAATGAAACAATTGTCCAGATGTGGTTGGAACAAAACCATATCCACTTGCCGTCAAAAAAAAAGAAAAGAAAAATAAGTGCAAATTTGTTATTTCTTGTTCTTCGTATGGTTAAAGATGGTCTTCCTCGTATGGTCGAAGATGGTCTTGTTTCTCACTATGAATTATTCTTGTGCTTGCAGATGGATGATACTCTGACAACTGGAAGCATCAGGAGTACACAGGGGAAAAGAGACGTTTAGCAGAGGCTTCACTTGCCTACAACTGTGAGAGGTAATTCCATCATCCATCTATTTAGGTTTGTGGGAAATGATAAAGCTCTTGCAAGCATGTATTGTTAGGGAGTAACATACTTGCCATAAAAGAAACAGCTCAATTTTCAGTCCGAATGCTCTTCCCAAGCGTAATGAATTATGTTAGATGGGTGACATTTATTACTTGTGCTGATGTGTAATATGATGCCATCAATCCTTCCCTGTTTGAAGCCATGGGACACTAACAAGCTTACTTTGTTCTTGTTTCCAAAATGTGTTAATATTGCGACTGGGTCTTAATTCCAAAATGACAATGGAGAAGTGGGCACTGAAAAGAACAGTTGATCATGCTCTCTATGTTATTTTTATGCCTCCATTTTCTTTTCTTCCCCTTCCGTTGTTGTTCTTCTCTTCTTTGCTTAACATGTATCTGTTTTGCACTTTCTGCACCATCATCCACATATTAACGTGCGCAGCGTGAAGCCACGCTTGTTCTTCTAGTAACATCCAATGGCCAATGCTATCTAGAGAATATTCATCAAGAGCAGTTAAGTATGCAAATTATTCAGGAGTTGAATAGTTCCAAAAAGTTGGTATAGAGCATGCTATCTAGTAATTCCTTGATGACATGCACATCATTTTAGAACACTTAGTCTTTACTTGGATTTTGAATATTTCTGTTGAAATGTGAACACTGACTTTCGACATGGTCACTACCTCAAATGAATCATTAATATACCTTGCCTGATTTTTGTTTTTGCAGGATATAGAAGACTAAAGGATTTACAGATTACAGATGAAAAGAGAAACGGCCAATGAATCAGTTCTACATGTAGAAAGCTGTAGATAGCTTTAATTAGTGAGACAATTGTGTGAACTTCAGTTTTTTTTTGCCATTGCACCTTTTTTTTTAAATGTACCGTTGAGCTGTAACTTCGATGATTTATCCAATATAAATAAAAATAGTTATGTTCATATAAATTTTACAGTTAAATAATGGGCCGTCATTAAATAATTAATGGACCAATGTAAAAAAATAATAGGTTGTTTAAAAATCAATGGGTCGTATAAAAAACATTGCTGATGTCAGCTGCCACGTCATCAGTGACACATCATCACACATGTGTCAAGACAACCACGTCACCTGCCATGTTGGCCGCCACGTGGCAATCATCTGTGCCGTTTAATTTCGTCACAAAGGTTGGGCTTGGCTGTACTACATGAGCCTATAAGCGTTTTATGACGGTTAAAAACGTCATAGATTGTGCTGACCCGTGACGATTTTGGAGAAAACGTCGGCAGATTTAATCTGTGACGCTCAATAGATGACGATAAGTATAATCGTCACAGACAAATTCCTGTGACGAATTTTCAGTGATCCATGACGATTTTTTTCGTCATAGATTAAATATATTCTTGTAGTGAGAGTTATAGATGGCCAAAAGGCTTGAGGCCCGACGGCCCGGCCCACGGCACGGCGTTTTGGCCTGGCCTAAGCACGGCACAGCCCGTCAAGGGTCGAGCTCGTGCCGACCCGGCCCGACCACCGGGCCGTGCCTAGGCCTCTCCGCTGGCACGTTGGGCCGGCACGGCACGATGGGCCGCATGCCAGGCCCGACACATAAACAATAGGGAGTAAAAATAGACATATTATATGCCACGGTCGAAAGAATAGGGACATAAAATAGACTTATTTTACCTATATATATGTCATCCTAAAGAAAAGGGACGAAAAATAGACTTATTTTCACTATATATATGTCACAGCCCAAAGTGGAGGGATGGAAAATAGACTTATTTTCGCTATATTATGTCACAGCCCAAAGAGGAGGGATTAAAATTAGACTTATTTAAAAAAGGCACGATGGGCCACCCGCGCCTTCGGGCTGGCCCGGCATGGCCCGACAGCTGGTGGGCCGTGCCTGGGCGGGAGGCGCAGCCCATGGGCCGGCACGGCCCGGCACGAAGTGCCGATCGGGCCGTGCTGGCCCGATGGCTGGTGGGTTTCATAAACCTGGTCTGTCAGTTGACATCTGAACTTCAGAATGACAGAAAAGGAAGAAGAGGGTGCCAAGATTAGCTCTCACACAAGTCGATCTACACTAGATTGCAATCGAGAGGAGAGAAGATCAAGCAGTAGTAGGTCGGCATCAAGCATTTCATGGCCTGTTGGCCATGGACCTAACAATGTTGTTTCTTTCTTTTTCCTTGGACAGAGATGGAGTGATGGACCTAACAACATTGACAATCCATCCCTGAAGAAACGGGAAGGGCACAGCCTCAATTAATCTGAACCCTCAAGTGCCCCTCTCAAACTGCACAATAACAACGACATCTCTCATCTATGTCTCTTACCATTGCCGACAAAACATGAACTAATCACCCTTAATTTCTTTACGTGTAAACTAATATAAATTACAGTGTGACAAATTCACCACAAGTCGAGTTCTCTCTGACATGAAAATTTCTGTACCTGAAGAAAAAGATGCAGAACGTCCAAGGAGGGATGGTACCAGAACATGCAAGCTCTGCAAGATGCCAACTCCATTGTCAAAGCTGCAACGACTTCTCTGTGTGTTTGCTGCTGGACCAAACAAATCCTAACTCGGAGAAACTACGAGACATGGTCGCTGGGGCCAAGCCATCATCGATCGATCAAACGTCGCCAACTTTTTTTTTCTTTGGTTGGTACTGGTGCTGTAATCCGGTACCATGCCAACTAACGGATTTGTTACGGCTGCATTAGTATGTGTCAGGTTCCTGTGCTATCGTTGTCACAGTGTGTTGTGCTGTGTTAATAGGGAATTCAGAGACTAATTGATTGATTGCATATTTGCATGGTGCAGATCAAATTGTGAATTGTATTTGGCCGTAGGTGTAGACATTTTTCCAAGTATCTAAGAAATGACGTGACTTGTACGTGTGTAGGTAGATGGTGAGGCACAATTAAGCTATTTTAGTATGTTACTCATTACCAAATTTATTTATATTTCTGGAATATTTAAAGCTCGTTTGAAAACACAGGAATTGCATGCGCTCTATTTAAATACTCCCTCCATCCCTAAATATTTGACGCTCTCCATCCCTAAATATTTAACGCTGTTGACTTTTTTAAACATGTTTGACCACTCGTCTTATTCAAAAAATTTAAGTAATTATTAATTTTTTTCCTATCATTTAATTTATTGTTAAATATACTACTACTCCTCAAGTTTTTGAATAATATTAACAAAAGTTGTTGAATAAGACGAACGGTAAAAAAATTTAAAAAGTCAACATCGTTAAATATTTAGGGACGGAGGGGAGTATATAGGAATCAGTTTGATTTGTACAGAAATTTCACTAAAATTTACCGATAATACCCTTTCAGGTTATTCACCGGATTATTGAAAACGGATTATTTGTTATAACAGTTGAAAAAAATATGTTTTCAGTTTCCTCTACTGCGCATTCCTTTGTGAAGCTTCAATTCGGTCCTCTCATGTCGCCCCTCCCCCACGGGCGACCGGGAGGCGACGACCTCACCGGCGCTCGTCTCTCCTTCCCTCCTCCTCTGCCTCGCCGCCGCCCGAGCGGCGGCCACAAGGACGGCGGCGGCGGGGCTTCGTCCTCACGCTCGGGCATGGGGGGGGACCTGCTCGGGGGCGGCGGAACCAGCCAGATCCATGCCACCCGGCCGGATCTGGCGGTGGAGCAGCTGGTGGCGGGGCTGAGCGGTGCGGCGGTGGTGTCTGGTGGTGGTGGCAGTGGCGTCGAGGCATTGGCGGCGACGGAGGAAACCGCCAGATCCGCGCCTGGATCTGGCGGGACAACGGTCGGTGGTGGCATCTGGTGGCGGAGATGGCGACGGTGGCAAGGGCGGCGAGGGGATGGCATCGGTAAGGTGAACCTGGCCGACGGTGGTGGCGACGAGTTCGCGGTGACAGCGGCGCGGGCTACCACGGCGGGCTGTTTGCGCCGTGTGTCGTCGGAGCTCGACGACGGTGACAAGGTGCGGGAGGATGACGAGATGGCGCCGGGGATGGAAGGGCTGCAGCGGCTGCGGTGGTGGCGGCGGAGGTGGCGAGGGGATGGCGTAAGTGAGGCGAACCTGGCCACGCCGGCAGCAGATCTAGTGCCGGAGGAGTCTGGTGGTCACGGCGATGGTGGCGACGAGTTCGCGGCGACGACGGCGCGGGCTACCACGGTGGGCGGTCTGCGGCGTGTGCCATTGGAGCTCGACGACGGCGAGAAAGGGTGAGAGGATGGTGAAATGGCGGCGGGGATGGAAGGGCAGCAGTGGCTGCGGTGGTGGTGACCGTCACCACGGTAGGGGGAGGCATGGCAATCTCGGACGGCTAGCCGGGGGCGTGGCAGACGGCCACATCCGGCCGGCGCGGCAGTGTTTGGAGGAGGGGTCGGAGGCCGGCTTGGCGCAGAGAGGCGCAGTCGATGGCAGCGGAGGCCGGCTCGGCGCAAGAGGCGCGAGCGGCGGAGATGGAGGCCGGATTGGCGCGAGAGGCGCGTCCGGTGGAGGAGCTGGCTTGGCGCGAGAGGCGCGGCCGGCGGTGGAGGAGGCGACCTCGGCGCGAGGGAGGAGCTGCCGGTGGACGTGGGTGGTCTTTGGCGCACGAAGGCTGGCCGCCGGGGGGGGGGGCACCGGTGCAGTGATCCCATATGGCGACAGATGTTGAGTGGTTGTGGATTGTTGGTCTAGCGGCGGTCGGTCACGCTTAGCGGCGGCCGGTCCGATGCTAGCCTTCTCCCGGGCTTGTGTGTGGCGCTGTCGGTGTGTGGGTGGTGGTATATTTTTTCTTTTTTCTGGTTACGACCCTCCAGGGTTGTAATCTTATAATTTTTTCCTGCTCTATTAATAGTACTTCGCACCGTATCGTGCGAGTCGTTCAAAAAAAATTTCCTCTACTGCATTGCCTGAACCACTTGTTTTAAAGTATTTGTTAAGTTTATTTCTTAAAATATTTAATCCATCTTCTATAGTCAAGTAGATAATTTATAACAATAATCTACTACTTCAATAATGTAAATTTAACGAAGCTTGCAAGTTGTCTAGGATACTGCATTTTGTCTGAAGAGTTTTATGACCGGTATGGTGGTGTCCCGTTTTGTGGGCAGAGAGTCGGGTGGCATCGCACGATCTTGGACGCGTAGTTTGAGGTTTGGTTTGTCATCATCTCCTTCTTCAGTTTCTGGCAGCTGGTCAAAGGGCCACACTGGAGAATCCAATTTAAAGTATAGACAAAAGACTTTTATCTCTTCAGAAACGGTGCCAATTCTTTAGCCATGTATCAAGGAGAAGTATATTGTTTTTAATTTCACTTTGATTTGGAGCTTAGCGTATATTCTGCAAAGGTACGTAAAGAGGGGGATTAATAATAATTAGTGTCTTAGCAGTGAATTAAACTGATTGATTTTTTTGTTACTTGGGACCTACTCCTACACGGCTACACGCCTACACCACGTTGTGGTGAAACACCAGGCCTGTTCGGCTGCCATTTTTCGGCAGCGCTGCAGCTGTGCAGGCAGCTAGCTGCAAAAAATAGCAGCCGAACAGGTCCACCGTTTTATGTTTTGTAAAATAAATATATCAAATGTAACCCTTCTAGAGGAACAAGAAGAAAAATATCCTTACATATATACCATGAGCATCGCTTAACTAATTAGATTGGTTGAAGTGAGCATTCTAAACTTAACATAGGTACTCGCTTTACGGCTTATAGCAAAGTATCCTTCCAGTGATAGATGATGCATCTATTGATAACGGGACGTCTATAATGACCTCGTAAATATTAAAATATATTGGACCAGTCTTACATATTAGAAAAATAATACTAATTGATTTAAACAATTCTTACACTTTTCTGTGGTTTTTTATATAAAAAATTCAACTTAGTAGACTGTAGCCACCATAGCCACCTATTCAGCCTCGGTTGATTGTCGTTCATCCCTTTTCCCATCTCAGCAATGTCGCCATCGCACCTTGG